GGTTGAGGTGGTTCTAAGCAGGCTGTTGGGGGCAGCATGGTCCTGGTGTAGGGTTTTGGGTGCAGGCATGAGGAAGAGAAGCCAGGCCTGACCAGGGACTCCTGCTCCTGGGCTGGGAGGTGCGAGCAGGTGCTGTGGAGGTGTTGCTGTGGTGGGTCATGGCTGGAGCTCGGGTGTCGTAGATCAGCAAACCCTGAACAGGGTGGTCTGAGCAGAGATGGGTGGGAGTCTCTGAAGCAGCGTGGTGGCTCAGAACAGATGAAAAAATACCCCAAAGCCCCATTTTAGTCCCGTCCAAGAGGCTGCCTGGAGCCCTGAGGTGTTTTGTGCTGTGACCAGTGAAGCCTGAGGGGCGGGCAGCCCTGCCGGCAGCGTGAAGCCCTTTGTTCCCGATTCCTCTGGGAGCAGCAGCAGTCAGGAAAGCACCTCGCAGCCTGTCGGTGGACAACAGCATGTTCTGTGCCTGCTAATCCCCGGGCACAGGAGGCAGACAGGGTGCTTGCACGCCGCTGCCCGGCGAGGAGGGAACGTGGGCTCCGTGACGTGGAATGCATACAGATCATCCACGTTCCTGCAAATCTGGGCTCTGGGGGAGGCGTGCCTGCTGCCTGCAGGTGCAAATCCCTGTGGTCTCAGGAAGGCAGGACTCTTGTGCCAAGGCAGTGGGGAGCAGGGCAGGGCAACTGGCCACGCTCAGCAAAACGTCCCAGCGCTCCTGTGGACGTTCCTCTGAGACCCATCGCTGCAAACATGAAATGAGCTTTGGGGTTGAGCACTGCCCACCCTGACCATGCTCTGGTGTTGGGGTCAGCTCTGGGGCCCCAAAGTACTTTCCCAGCTCAGCCCCTCGGCACGCATCCTGCCTCGTGTGGAGATGGGCAGATGGAGAGCGGGAGGATGAAGAGGAGGCACTCGGCTCGCACAGGTTGGGCTATGCAGGGCAGTGCAGGCAGTTCCCCCTGGTGCAGGGGACCCTCAAGGGGTCATAGGGGGTCACCACCTCCCAGAAGTTGCTTTGACAGAGGAGCAAGGCCTTCGTCACGGGGCACAGAGCCCGTGTGGTGGGGAGGGGGCCTGGCCCCCTGCTCCTGTGGGCACACACAGGGCACAGGGCCCTTGCTGTGCTGCAGTGCTGCCTGCTAAGGGTTTTCTCAGTTTGGTGGAGTGAGCGCTTGACATTGTGACTTCCCCCTGGGTGCATGGAGGGGCTGGGGGATCTATGCAGTTGTTGGCTGGGGGTGCCGGTCGCGGTGCCTGCGTCACATCCTCGTGCAGGGGCTCATCGAGAGGCGGGTGATGTGATGGTGCTTCTGTGATTTCAAACTTCCTCCCTGCGTTTCTCAACCACTTCTTGTGGAAGGTCTGGGGGCAGCAGGCGATGGGGAAGCTCAGGAGATGGAGAAGTTCAGGAGATGCCGCAGCAGCAGATCGGGTGGTGCGTGCCCTGCATCAGCGCCGTGCTCAGCACAAGGAGCGCACGAGGCCGCTGCTCCTCACAATTTGGGTGTCAATTGAGAAGCCCAGGGTCACCTCACAGATGGTCAGACTGCCACTGCTTAGAAGCAAGACAAAGGCTCAGACTGAATGACACGTCTGGACATGACACAAACCAGCTCTGTCCTTTTGTGTTTTATGGGAAAAACATGTTCTGGTGGCAGTGATGCTGCCATGTTCACCCTGATGCACCTTTGAAGGGGAACACCAAGGCCTGAAGATTTTGACTGGGGATGCTGTGGACTGAAAAAGCAAAAAGACTTTAACTGGAGGAGTCTGGAGATACTGCTCGTGGTAATTCCAACCATCGTGATCGAGTAATTCCACACACTGAGGAACAGCAGGAACATCTGTGGGTACGGCACATACCGCTGGGAGTCAGGAGGGATTAACAGCTGCCAAAAAGCAGCTCTGGTCTCTGTGGGAGCCAGCTGTGGCCTGAGGGGTCAGAGCAGCTTGTCCTACAGTGGGTCCTCCTGGGAGCATCCAGCTGAGATTGTGTCCCAAAGGCAGCTTTGGCAGGAGTCACTGCCCTGGGTTCCCCTGAAAGGAGGTTGTAGCCAAGTTGGGGTCATTCTTTTCTCCTGAATAGCAAGCGACAGCTCAAGAGGAAGTGGCTCCAAGTTGCACCAGTGGAGGTTTAGTTTGGCTACTGGGGAAAATTTCTTCACTAAAAGGGTGGTCAAACCCTGGCACAGGCTGCCCAGAGGAGCAGTGGGGTCACTATCCCTGAAGGGATTTAAAAGACATGTAGATGTGGCACTTGGGGATATGGTTTAGTCATGGAGGGTTTGGTAGCGCTCCATTAATGGTTGTACTCGGTGATCTTAGGGAGCTTTTCCAACCTAAAGGATTCTGTGATTCCATGATTCTGGTGTGAGAGTTGTGGAGTGCTGGTCCATGTGCTCCCCACACTGCTCAGTGTTACCTGCTCAAAGACAGCAGTCTCTGTGTGACCGTGACATGGTTCTGGGTGCCACTGCCAGCTCTGGGGCTGCAGTGGTGAGCCCTGTTATCAGCAGGTGGATCTAAGTGGCGTCCCCACTTCTGTCCCCACGTGGCTTAAAAACTTTGTGACCAGTTTTGAAATCTTACTGAGTTTCTTTGCAATAACTCTACTGGTGTGGGAAGCACTGATAAAATTAACCCATGGATGTGTAGTGGGGATCACCTGGGACGTTGCTGTCTGTGCAGGGAGGTGCAGCTGGATTAGAGAGTGCTGGTGTGGAGATGCTCTGAAGGAGCGGCTCCTTGCAATTGGTGCTGAGCAGGAGCGGTGCCTGCTTGGCTGGCACTGGGGATAGGGGTGTCTGTGCTCCACTGGGATCACCAGGGCTGGGATTCCATGCAGAAATGGGACAGATTCAGGGCAGAAAACTCAGTGTCACACCGGCAAGGGGCGCTCTTTGGAGTGCCTTGTTTTGTGCCCTTGTTTCTCCTGGCTGACAAAGCCAGGTGGCCGTGGGAGGCAGCCCGGAGGTGTGGGCAGCGGGGATTTGCTCCATGATTTAGCCATACAGAGCACGGCAGGCACTGGCCGAGCAAAGCTCTGTTCGGTTCCACTGCTGAGCACTGTGGACAGAGCACTGTGCCCATAACCACAGCCTCTGCCCTGGGCTCCCTGGCGTGGGGACAGCCCTGTGACCCGTGGTCCCTGCTAACACAGAGGGGTGCTCAGCCTGTCCCAGGACTGGGAGAACAACGGGGCATCTGGATGTGCGGTGCCAGCTGAGACTCGGTCTGGTTTTTCCCCAGGTGCCGGTGCCCAGAGGGGCCAGGACTTCAAGCTGCACCAGCCCCAGGACAAGGTGTCGGTGAAAGCAGGGGAGACGCTCACCCTGAACTGCACCGTGTCTGGATCCTTTGCACCTGGTCCTGTGAAGTGGCTGAAGGGCTGGGGCACTGAGAACAGGACCATCTATGAGGACACTACGGGCCCTGCTTCCCTCCGTGTGACGAGAGCAGTGGAAGGGTCCAACACAGACTTCACCATCCACATCAGGGATGCTCAGCCCGAGGATGTCGGCACCTATTACTGCGTGAAGTTCCAAAAGTCCCTGAGCGGTGGGAATGAGGTGTTTCGGCATGGAAGTGGCACAGAGGTGTCTGTGCTCGGTGAGTGGGGCTCCCAGAGCAGCTCCTGGGGGGAACCAGCCCAGCCCAGTGGGCTCTGCTCAGGGTGAGCAGGGATGGGGAGGGGGCTTTGGGAGCTGGTCCCAGGAGAGGATGCTGTGGGCCATTCCTATGCCCTGTAGAGACCCCGCTCCTTACAAACCCGGGGCTGGGCAGGGGGACAGAGGCTGACAGCCCTGTGCTTCTCCCCACAGCCAAACCCTCCACCCCGATCGTGTCCGGGCCCAGCCAGAGAACGAGGCCGGGGCAGTCAGTGGCTTTCACCTGCACGGCTGGAGGGTTCTTTCCCGAAAACATTGGTGTGAAATGGTTCAAGGACAAAGCCTCCGTCTCATCTCAGCTGCCCCAGGTCACTGAATGGCGGGAGAAATCCTACAACATGTCCAGCAATGTGACAGTGGTCCTAGAGGAGCGGGACGTCCTCTCACGGCTCATCTGT